TTCAGCAACTGGCCATATGAAGGTCACCAGGGAAGAGTGAGGGTCCAGAGGCAGTAGTACCAGTAAAGGTTACAGGCTGTGGCCTGAGCTGCCATCTTCACGCTCAGCATCCGCGAGGCCTGTGGGGATCTGCCCTGGTCATGCATCTAAGGGCAGCCTGAGCTGGCTCTCACAGGACAGGCTGCCCACCCCAGCAGGCCCAGGGAGGCAGGCCTCACCAGGCAGAGGCCTGGGTGTCGGGTAGCAAGGCCATCACTTCCGAGAGTCCTGGCATGGCTACATACCATAGGTGACACTGGCCCCATCCTCCAGGGTCTCGGGTTTGTTACAGAGAGCAAGTCTGTGGCCCACTGCTCCCAACCCAGGTGAGCAGCCGGTGGCTGGGATCCGCCCGGACGCTGGGCTTGGAAACTGAGGGCCGCAGGAAGCCCTTCTCTAGCGGGTCGGGGATGCGCGAGGCCTGCCTGAATGATGGTGCTCATCTCTTGCAGACCAGCCGGTTCCCACGGGAGGCTCCTTGTGTGATCGGGGAGACCATGCCCAAGCCCTCCGACTGCCTGCTGCGGCTCCTCCGGGGCACCCCCAGGCAGCGGGTCTGCACCCTGTTCATCATCGGCTTCAAGTTCACGTTTTTTGTCTCTGTCATGATCTACTGGCATGTCGTGGGAGAGCCCAAGGACCAAGGGCAGCTCTATAGCCTGCCTGTGGACATCCCCTGCCCCCCACTCACGCCCCCAGCCCCGTCCTCCAGCACCCCCCCTCCAGGCAACATCTTCTTCCTGGAGACCTCAGACCGGACCAACCCCAACTTCCTCTTCATGTGCTCCGTGGAGTCGGCCGCCAGGACCCACCCCGAGTCCCAGGTGGTGGTCCTGATGAAGGGGCTGCCCGGTGGCCACGCGCCCCTGCCCCGGCACCTGGGCCTCTCGCTTCTGGGCTGCTTCCCCAACGTGCAGCTGCGCCCGCTGGACCTGGAGGAGCTGTTCCGGGACACTCCGCTGGCAGCCTGGTATCGGGCCGTGCAGCGGCGCTGGGAGCCCTACCTGCTGCCCGTGCTCTCCGACGCCTCCAGGATCGCGCTGCTCTGGAAGTTCGGCGGCATCTACTTGGACACGGACTTCATCGTCCTCAAGAACCTACGGAACCTGACCAACGTGCTGGGCACCCAGTCCCGCTACGTCCTCAACGGGGCCTTCCTGGCCTTCGAGCGGCAGCACGAGTTCCTGGCTCTGTGCATGTGGGACTTCGTGGCCCACTACAACCGCTGGATATGGGGCCACCAGGGGCCCCAGCTGCTCACGCGGGTCTTCAAGAAGTGGTGCTCCATCCGTAGCCTGGGGGAGAGCCACACCTGCCGAGGGGTCACCGCCCTGCCCCGGGAGGCCTTCTACCCCGTGCCCTGGCAGAGCTGGAAGAGGTACTTTGAGGAGATCAGGCCCGAGGAGCTGACTCGGCTGCTCAATGCCACCTACGCTGTCCACGTGTGGAACAAGAAGAGCCAGGGCACGCGCTTCGAGGCCACGTCCAGGGCACTGCTGGCCCAGCTCCACGCCCGCTACTGCCCCACGACACACGAGATCATGAAGATGTACTTGTGAGGAGCCGGCCTGGCGCCTCTCCTGGAGGTGGGCGGGCAGGAGAGGGAGGTCCGAGCAGCCACAGCCGGGCGTGGGGCAGGCTGAGGCCTGAGCACGTTCCACAGGCCCCGCAGCTGCTCCAGGCCGGGGTAAGCCTGGTGGGAACCCCCTCGGCTGGCGCCCTGGCTCGGGTCAGAGGCCCACAGAGGATTCCAGAGCCGTCGGGAGTGCCCGGTGAGCCCGGCAGGCTGTCCAGACACGTGGCAAGAAGAGCGCACCTCCCACCGGGAACGGCAAAGCAACTTCCTGGGTGACACCC